TAATATATCCTAGACTGATAAATCATCTCCGTTCAGAATCGTTTTTCGTATACAATGATACCTATCATTGCATTCAAATTTAATCCCATCCATTACCTACTGTACAGCAGAGCGACATCCACGACTTACCCGCTTTTTTTTATTTTAAGTACTGTAAGAAATTATTTTTCGATGTTTGATAATCATTTTTAATTAAGGCAAATTGTATTAGCATATTTAATAAACGGTTTAGAATGATTCTGTTAAAATTCTGTTACTTCTAATCTAACTTTCACAGGTATGTTACTGATCAGAAATTTATCTACACAATAAACTTAGACATAATAAACGATCGAGGTTAATAAACATAATATTTATCACTTCTTTGAACTTGAATAAAGATTAGAAAAATGATAAATTTATAATATATATAAACTGTGTTGTTTAAGCAACAATTTTATTTTAAAAACTGTATTTTTTATTTGTCATAAATTCATAATATATCATTAAATGTAATAACACTAATAACACATTTTATATCAACACACAAATACAACTTTTATCATAAACATATATTCATATTATAATATATTATAATATATTATAATATATTATGTAATAAAATATCAAATATATTCATTTATATTATGCTAAAATAAAGAACAACATCTATAATAATTTTAAAATTAAACATAAGTTAAAATATTTTATATTTTTATAAACAAGAATAATATGAGAGTTAGTAGGGTTAATATTATGCACGTAACTTAAGTTGATATAATTGCTAGATAATAGGCTTAAATAATTTAGTAAACCTTATGAACAACAACGCTTTAACCATTTGTATCAATAATAATTAGGTATTAATGATTGTATTTTTTATGGACGCAATTGGCATTTTACATAATTATTATGCTTATTACTTTAAAACGAAAAAAATGAAATAAAATATTTATTGCAATCAATAATAAATTGACAGTAATTTTAAATTAAAACGTAGAAATCACATGTGTTCATAATCGATTTCCATTTATATTTTTYCAAAAATGAACACAGAAAATATATATAGGTATATGTTTTCAACTAGKCATTCGTTAATAAATTAATGACTATTTTTTTTTCGTACCCTGCACTTGGACAGTCTCGTATTGTTATAATATCATCTTAATTTCATTTTGATTTAACGTCATATATCTTGATAATTAGTGTAAAAATCTAATAAATAAATTACCGTCAATATTACTATATAATTATATTATTGGCAAAAGCACCACTTTAAATTACCAAAAAAATAAAAAATTGCAAAAAAAATCACTATCCACCGAAGCAGATACACTTTAGAAACTAAATAGGGTTCCCAAAGAACTGCACTGGATGGATGAACTTGGGAAATGTTTAAAGCGTTCGTTATACATGACAATATTTATCGTGCGTCTAAAATACATTAATAATCTAAAGGGAAAGGTTAGGTGTTTATCGCCGTCGTCGTACACAGAGACGCAGACGGCTGTAACGAGGTACATACCCCGAACAATATTACAACATAAATATCAAATATTACATCGGAAAATAAAATTATGATTTATAGCATAATGCAAAAAACGACTTCAACTGGATCCGTGCGTTTAATGATAATAGTAAAATATAACAATAATAATAGTAAAAAGAAGACGAATGAAAATAATAAAAAAATGATGACAACAATATAGGATTGATCGATTTGGGTGATTGTGGTGGTAAGGGGGGAGGGGCATGTATTATTGTGTGGCAGTTGGCTGTCGAGTTTTTGTTGGGGTGGTCATCGGGGTCGTTCTACACAGGTGGTGGTCCACCGGGGTAGCGGAGCAACGGGTAAAGGCTCCAGGCGATGCTGTTGGACTCCATGCAACTGAACTCTTCGTCGACGATTGGCACCAAAGAGGCTGCGCCCAGGACCAGCAGCATCAACACCTGGAAAGGCAAGGACGCCCGCATCACCCGTCCGAAGAATCTGTAACCGCGTCTCAGCACCGTCTCATCTCCGCCAACACTGTGGAAAAACCGCGTGACCCGTAACGTATTATAATCATAATATTCAACTATATTATGTAATTGTTACGGTAGGTCATAACGACGCTTTTTGCAACTGTCGTTTATAGAGTACGAAAAACAATCATCAAGTCGTCCACATGAATACATGATAACATTATAGGTATAATATAATATAGGACTTTTAATCAGCGCCAGATTCATGGGTAGGGGGGGACATTTGTCTCAAGTGATTTTCTACGATAATCTTAATATTAACGAAACAGGAATGATGAACATAAAGAAAATATCTTCTATGATCTCACATATTATTGAACAAAAATAATTTTTAACCGAATTTTTCGACTAAATTAAGACCGTTTAAAGAACAATTGCCTAATTTTTAAAACAATATCTTAATTCCTATCAAATATAACTAAAATTTATCTGTAACAAGTTCTGTTGATCGAAATTTTACCGAGTTTTACTAAGAATGTCAATAAATCAAAATAGTCTAAGACATTTGAATAATTGATTTCATTATTACAAAATATATAGAATAAAACATGGTCAAAATTCAAAAGATCTAATAGGTAAGACAGTGTATCTATGTTGGTGTACGCCTACCTACTTTTTTAGGTCGTGATTTTAAATTTTGCATTGGGTAAAAAAGTCTAAATCTGGCACTAGATATTATTGTTATTTAACACTTATACTTATAATATACGATATTTCATACAATAATTAGGAAACAGTTTACATTGTTGGCTGTTAACGAATTTTCATAAACGCTGACCAATCTAGTTCACGCAAAATGAAACTGGAGAATATTTTAATTTTAATCGTCATCCAATCAGGTTTATTAAAATTTTTGTTTTAAATCCATCCAAACTAATTTATCCATTGTCAACACACCAAATTGGTCCTGGACCACGGTTTTTGGTCAACCTTATCATAATTTAAATACTAGTCAACGATAATCCTTTATAATAGACACCGACCTGTGTATTGGCATCAGTAGTTTTTCTAGATTAAATTATGAAGTGCAAATATAAATAAAACATATATATGTATTATAWATGTATACTAAGTATACCTAGGTTAAAAAAGTCATCACCACATGCACAACTAAATCTGTGTGATTTTTTAAAATGTTTTTTGTTTTATATTATTTTTATTTGATATTCATTAATTAATGCAACTGAATACTGATTGAAAGATATACTCTTATTAATTATTGTACAACTTAATTTTCAGAAAAATAACAATGTAAATGCTGTATTGTCTATATTTGAAAGAAATCACAGAATTGAAGTGATTCTGATCTAAAATGAAACTAACATGGAAATAGTTTAAATTAAGAAAATTGGATTGCATCCAAATTCTAAATTCAGAACGTTTTCAACCCCACAAAAATAAAGTGTCTAGCCTATGATACATAATATACATGCATCTATACATGTTACAGATGTATCTCTCTTAGTGCATAGTACCTATCTTCCGAGTTAACACGTGTGAAAAATTGATAAACATTTTAAAATACCTATTCATTGTTCAATAAYTTTGGTATACAAGATACAACATCCAAATGGATCTTGTACATATCACTTAATTATTAAATTCGATCCATTAAGGTAATAATGCAATTAACTATTAAACAAATATACTAGAAATGATTAAGAAAAAAATGTTGTTTTAAAAATTTAAGAATTATATTTAGTATTTGAACGTATTGTTTAACTACTTTTCCTTCTATTYGTATCCATGCATACTAAATTAAAAGTATATTTAAGAATACATATTTGAGTCGGTGAGGTACTCATTATTTATATTAGTTTTATAATTAGTTTAATTATTGTATTGTATTTAATATTATTATTTTTCATCAAAAAATACACTAAAGATAAGCCAAAAATAATGAAATAGTGTCATCAATAAATAATAAATAAATACTAATAATAATGTGCAGAGATATTTACTTTGTGGTCGGTTCTTCTTCGTTTGGTCGATTCATAGCAGTGCTGGTATCGTCCACCTTTAAAACGGGAACAACAAATTATAAAAAAAAAAACAGTGCAGACTAATCAAAACAGTATATGTCGTATGTGTTTCAAAAATAAAATATATATAATATACATAAATATATAAAAATACTTAAAAAATAATAGTAAAATATAACGAAAAAATCAACTTTACGGTCTACATAAAAATACTGTATAATACCTATATAATTTATATATAATATATATATATATATATAATATATATATATATATATACGTACAACAGTAAAATATGTAGATCACTTCCTATGAAAAATATCAATACATAATATAGGTAATAAAATTATAATCTATTGGTGGTCCGGCGTATGTATTACAAACATAATAAGCAATAATAATAATATAATAATATAAGCGAACGCGTGTAAAACGTAGTTCCATCGAAATGCATGTAAATAATAATTTTTTTTTTCAAATAACTTATGTTTGTTTTAAATTAGTCAAATATTCCTGTATAATGGTATAGTTAGTTTACATAACATATATAATTAATAATTGCAGAGATCGTAAACGAATAAAAAGTACCGCGATAGTGAACCGGGAACAAAAGTTACAATATTACAGACTGCTGCATCGTAGAGCTCTGGTCGGGTTATGTTGTTATGTATACATCACTACCCTTCGAGACCGAAAAACTAAAATAAATATAATTACACACGTTTTTGAACTGCGCTCGTCTAAAACGAGAATATCATTATAAGCACAACGGTATGTAATGAACAAACTATGAGACGGCTAAAGAAATTTTAAGCCAAACACCCAAATACCGCCGTGGTGAAGAGGTATATCATAACATTATACAAATGTGTTATTCTTAAATCATTTAAATGTTAATACTATAAAGCAGATTGCTGCAGAAAATAGTACGAGGAGGATATGTGAAAAAATTGCAAAGAAAATTGGGGCGGAATCAATACCTTCTCTCTCTCTCAAACTATATTACCCCCGCGCACAATGCATAGTTTTGCCTTTATTAGTACTCTGTATAGGTAGTATAATAATATGTATTACAATAATAATTATTATGCCATGCGCAAAGTTTAATATTTTGCTCGGGCCTGATCGTCGCGCATCGTACCTGGTGAAGTCTTACGCAAACGCTGTCTGGCGTCATGTCATAACCCAAAGTGGTGCCAAGTTTCGTCGCGTAACTGGACGTCATGTTTATCAACACCGTGAGCCGGGCCCTGAGGTGTGACAGTCTCGCGTGAGAGTCCACGATGGTCTGATCCGATGTGGAGGCTGAGTGTGTCGTGATGCCAGTTTTTTCGTTGGCCTGGCGTAACCAATCGGCGGCCTCGAGCAACGATACCACTCGTGGTTCGCACCTCTCCAGTTCTGTGTGCATGTTCTGACAAGAAAATAAAAATAAGCAATAGAACCCGGTAAAAGAGACGCCGTTTTCCACATTAGGACTTTTCAATTCAATTCAATATTTTCAACGTATATTAATATACCTTAAACTTGTTGAATTTGTCCACTATGATAACCGTGTCCTCGGCCAGGTCTACCGGTTCAGTCGTCTTGATCGCTCGTTCCGTTTCGTCTAACCAATTGACAAGTTCGTCAATTACACCGTAAAACTCTTCGTTCTAGAATAAACGTGAAATAAAATTTATGAACGGACTGCATGTTAAATTCAATGATATTAAGATCACGAATATTTCCAGGTTTTGTGTAGCACTAAATTATTACTCATAAGTATCTACGTTTATAACGTGTTGGATATTCGTTGTATGATATTATTGTCAACGATTCATGTAGAGACAAAGTCAAGTTTCAACGTCTCTAATACTTGAATAATTTTTTGAAATAATACTAAATTAATAGTATACATATAGATACAGTTTTTATCGTTTTTATCGAATAATTTTGGCATATAATTAGCATATCAGATTAAAATAAAAAGTTACGACCGATACCTCCATAAGTGCAGTTTGCAGTTTGGTCTGCCACTCAGTGCATGCAAAACAGACACGATCCCATCTGGAGTTGGTAGCAGATAAACGGTTTTTAATCTGAGCTGCTCTTTCCACGTCGTTGCTGTGCTCAGCCAGGTGGTGTCCAATTACGTTTAATGACTGCACGATATTGCGGTGACTGTCCAAATACAACAGTAGTTCCTATGAACGAAATGTATAGTAGAATTGTTAATAATTATTGTCCACGTTTCTTCGATTTTCTTGTATAATACGCGTACCCTGTGCTCCTGTATGACATCTTCCAATTGTTCGATCTTCGACGGTGGTACCATCGGTTGGACACTGAGCTTAGCTTCGGTTGACTGTATCCAATGTTCTAAGCGCCACATGTCGTTCTCGAACTGTGACCAGTTTTGTTCGGAGCAAAGTGGACACATCGCCGAACTGCTAGTTCTATAGATAAATATGGTGTTTACCAAGATTCTTATGATAAATTGTGCAAAGTACAGAAATCAAACTGTTTAGATTACTCACTTTGGTTGACCGACTTGCTGTTGTGATCGGAACTTTACAAGGAGCTCTTCGTATTTGGCCAATAACTCTTCAGACCTGACTATGGTTATGTCGGACTCCGACACTCCACACTGTGTTTTTAATATGACGCTGAGATGTTTGATCAGGTCCATGGACATTTGACAGGTCGCAATGTTTTTCGATAAGTTCTTGTCAGATTTTTGTATAGCTAATTCTAACTCGTTTAGGTTGGTATTGGCGTTCGCTATTGCCGTTTGTAATTCGTATTGGAAAGAGTCTTTTCTGAGCAATTCTGTGGGAAGAGTGTCGACTTGCACTTGTGAATCTTTGCCAAACTTTAATGTTTCTACTTGAACTTCTTCATTTACTGACCGCTGTTAGACAAACAATTATTTAATGTCAATTAATTGAAAATTAATAAATATTTTAAAATATATTAAATTTTTATTACCTTTTTTCTACACGAAGTTTCTTGAACACACGCAACCTTTAATTTTTCAATACGATTGTTGATATCCTTCCATAAAAGTTGGTACTCGTCAATCATTTCTTGGATATTTTTTATATCACCAGGAGTACTATTAGTCATCAATTGCAGACCTAATGCATCTGCTTTCTCGAGAAGTCCTCCGTATTTTTTTAACTCCATTTCTAATATCTAAAATACAATAATTTTAACTTAATGGAATCTCATCATAGACCCGAGTATTGATGTTTATAATTTTAATATAATCGTTTCAATTATTATTACAACAAAAAATTATATTTATTATTATGAATATGCGGGTACCTGTAAATTTCCAAGGTCTTTTTCCATAATACGAGCACTTCCTTCGTCAGCATTATCACCTTTTTCTAATAACTCGAGTTGAATTAGTTTGGTATCGACTTGGGTCAGGGTTACTACAGCTCTTCCATGTGCATTGATGAAATCTTTCCACAACGTTAATGATTTTTTAAGGAGGATAAGTATCATATCAATTTGTTCCAACAAAGATTTTCGATTTTTACTAATTATTTCTATTTCTTCGTCAATAAACTTTGCACTATATGTCGCACGAGATATAGAAACAGCGAGTTCTAACTTAGAAAATTTGTCTTTAGCGGTTTGTTGTTCCTGCTAATATGATAAATATAATTTTATAGTATTTTGTTAGTAAATAACCTATAGGCTCGTAATTTACTCACTTCAAAATTGCTGATTAAACCAGACAAACTTTTATGTTCTATGAATTTCTTTTTCTTATGTTCTTCAACAGCAATATTTAACCGACTCAGCCATTTGGTTTCTACATCAATTAAACCAAGTATGGTTTGCAGTTCTTCCCATGCATTTAATAAACGAACACGTTTTTCACTAATTTTGTTTTCTAGGTTCTTCCAGCTGAGAATAGGTATATCACCAATAATTAAAGTAGTTACAAAATAATCTAATTAACTGTAATTATTGCAGTATTTACCTGATAGGTAATGTCTTTGACGGACATTGCAAATCTTGAGTGGTATCAGAATCAATTGTGTTCTTATCGGTTTTTAACTGTTCATTGCAATTAGCCATTAATTCGTTATATTCTTTTTGTTTTTCTTTATACATATTATTTAATGCCTTAAAAATTATATTTATAAATATTAAAATATTTATAATTTATTGAATAGTTTGATAATATTATATACATAGATTTTAAGAACCATCAGAAAATACTACTGATTTTAATTGAGTAGACAATTTTTAATTTAATTTGGAATAAGTTCAATTACAATTTAAAATTTAAATAATACTTACATCTAAAGATTTCAATTCTTCTTTTAAATTGTATTCTGAACGATCGCTAAAAACGATCGCACTGTTTATTTTTGATTCAAAGTCACTGATCCAAACTTTGAAGATGTTGATTTTATCTAATAATTTATTTGTATTCTAAAAATAAATATTTTATTGAATTAGATAATTAAAAAAATGTATAATTTAAACTTACCAAAATTGTTGTAGGTAATTCGACAGTATATTTGTACAATGAACCATTTAAATTATTCCAGCTTTCATTGATTTCTTTTAAGTTGGATTCAGTATTATGTACTAGTTGAGGATTTAGTTGCGATTCTGCTTCAATTAGTTGACTACCAGCTTCGTTTAACCAATTAAATTCTTTTTGTTTCGAATTAATCTGAGATTCAAATTCTGGTTTCAACACATCAATAGCGAATTGTGGATMTTTCAAAGATTTTGTTAAATTTTTCAATTGAGTTTCGGTATCAACAGCCCAGTTCCTAAATCTAGTGTATCTATTGACAAAAAAATATTATCAATATAATAAACTGCAAGTAAATACATTATTATATAATATAAATTACCTATGAGTGAATTCTTGAGGTTTATATAACAAATTGTCTATTTGACAAGAGTACAAAAACAATTGATACTGTAAATCCTTTTGGTGATATATTAAAAACCTAAGTTTTTGTCCAAATGATCGAATTTCTATCGGATCTAATGAATCTTTTAACTTGTCTCGTATATCAGTAGTAAATGAGAGTTGCGAATCTAATTGTTTCAAGTTGTTATTCAATTCCTGTAATTTATTGGACTCGGCGTTTAGTTTATCAGACGGCACTATATCCTCGTGAGAACCAAATTCGTGTTTCAATGTATCAAGTTTAATTTGCACATCTTGCAATACTTGATCAATTTCCGAACTTTGTACGTCAAAAGAGGTGGTTAGTTTTTCTATATTTTCTAGATATCCATTCCAAACTTCTAACGATGCCTGGATTTCGTTGACTCGTTGGCTAATTGCTATCAGTTCTTTTCTGTAGCCTGTTTCCGTAAGTTTATCACAGAACGCGAAGATGGTATTTTGAAGTGTTTCCAAGTCATTTATTTGAGAACGTTCCGCAGACAAATTATTTAATAGATTCTGAAAAAAATCATATCAAATAATGAAAAAAAATTTCGAAAAACTGTTCTAAACAAGTTATAATTTTTGTATTTAAATTGAGACAATATTAAGTTAAAATATTGTAAACTTACAGTTATTTGAGATTTCAGTTGTGGCAGCCTTCTGGTGTTGATAAATTTAAGATTTAAATTTGAATGTACTTTTTCAACCTTCCATAGCCATTCATATACCTTTTTAACATTCGTTCGGTAATCTTTCCAGTAGCCTAGTTTGGTCCACACTTCTTGATGAATGCTCTCGAGTTTTGTCATGGTTTCATTATGTAAATCCATCAAAGAAGTAAATCGTTCCAATGCTGCTGGCTCAGATATTATGTCTGGCTTATTCATACAATTGGGTATAGTATCCATCTGACTAACCAATACTTCTTGATGTACTTGACAAAGTCGTTCATGACTTGTTAGTGAATGGTAGTCACCCGGAACAGGAGATTTAAAAAATTCTTGTATATACATTAAATAGTCGTGCCAAAGTTCAAATACAGCGACATTGTTTTCATTTTCAAGTAAAGTACATGACAATCTACGATATTGATTGAACGTTTCTTTGAATATTTGCTGCCAGAGCTAGAACAAAAAGTTAATTTTCATGTTCATTTTATTAAAAAGTATCATTTAATCGATTTTACCTGGAATACTTCGATTATAGAGTATGTTCGTTTTTCATTTAGAGGTATCTCAAAGTTATCTATGTCAAAAGTTTCATCCATCGCTTTTTTCGATTTGTTCAAATCTAACAGTTTAACTCTCAATTCTTTTAGGGTTTCTTCATTGTTCTTAATGGATTTTGATGAATTCTGAAAAGTTAATTAATACGTTTATAAATTACGCTTAGTTATATTATTATTTAAACATTAAATATACATTTAAATTTAAAATGTTATTGTAGCAGGTATATTACATAAATATTGAGTACATTCTTTTTTTTTTTTTAAGATGAGAATAATAGTAATTACGTTTAAACTTTTGTAATACCTAACACAAGAAAGGTGCTTAAAGTTTTTGGAAATTGTTTTTGTTGAAAATTGAAYGCCTTTGTTTTTACTTCTAGGAACCATTAAAAACTTTTTATCGGATTATTAGTAAAGAGGGCAAATCAATAAGTAGTAAAGATACCCATTGTTTTTGTATATATACCTATTACATTTTCATCAAATATATTTTATAATTCATTTAAATATTAAAAACATACTTTTTCGATATCATGCAAAAATCGTTTCGCATCTTCGATGTCGTTAGACATTTTATTCTTTTTGACCGCAACATCTCCGAGTGTGGTAAGAACTTTTTGGACTTTCTCTAGTTTCAAACTCAGTTTTTCGATTTCGTTTAGTGGTACGTCATCTGGATTTARTCCAATGGTTTCGCCCACGTCCATTATCATTTTCCGTAATTCGATCAGATTTGCTTGTTGTATATCAATTGACTTTATCTTATCTGCAGATACATCTTCGGTAGTTTCAATTGACAAAAGTTTAGCATTCAAACAATCATTTGTTGAATCTCTTAGCTGTTGATAACTGTGTAGCGTTTTCCATGCCTTTTCATAACGTTCGACCATTTGTTTTACGGCCACTCCGGTGTCATTCCATTGCGTTTGATCGCCGTTAATTATTTCGTCGATTTTTTCTTTATCTCCTTTCCGACGCAAGGATTCAATGTCAGCCAAAATAGCTTTATTATCTTTTTCGTAAGAGCTGCGTACATCCTATAAACATAACAATGGTCATTATTATAATATATACGTATTATACGTATATAAATTACTTATATATTATTTGCACGTATTTTATTCTATTAAATGGACCAATTATTGCAGAGGTCAAATAATTCAAATAAATCATGTAACCAATGCACACAAATATACGTAGGTAAATACTTAATAAAATACTTTAATCACTATAGACATGTCTGTATTGTTCATATCTGTATTGCAGTCACATTTTGTAACAATAATGCGAATTTACCTATTATAAGATTCTTAGAAGTACTAATACTCAGTGAAAGTAATGATGGTCGATGGACATATTTTAATTAAAACATACACATTACGAGTATAATATGTTTTATTATATCTATTGTTAATGTTTTTATTTAAGTTCAACGTTAAAATCTAAAAAAAATTGTGATACAGTAGGATTAGTGAGTAGACTGATGAGACAGAAATCATTAAATATAATATATTATAAGCACCGATAGTTTTTTGCATTCAAAAGTCATTAAATATTCATGAAAAATATTTACTATAAATCAGTGTTGGTCAATATTTTTCAACGTCTTCGCAGTTTTATTTTTACCATTTTTCGAAAAYTAACGTAAAGTTTGAAAAATATACTTTCTATATGTGAAGTTAAATGCACATAGTGTAATAAATATTATCTAAATGAAATTTGTTGGTATTTGAAGGCACCACAGACAATTTGAATAAAAAAAAAAAATTAAATAATCATTACTAACTTAATAAAATAGCTTTCTCGGAATACAAAATCATAAATTATGTTGTGTAACTTAGTTTGAGTAGATTAAGAAATATATGAATTATTTTTATATTTATTAAGTATATGATATAGCAGCACCTATACGGCTATACGTTTTTATGGCTTAAATAAACTACAAGTTATTTATACAGTTAGACCATACGGCACTGAATGAGTTAAAATAGAAGTATTATATTTGCTATTCATTATGCTGATGTTGTCTAGTATGATCAGAATGCATAATATACATTTTAGTGGTCTTCGTGCGTATAATATACTGAAGTTATCGTTTGAATTCGTTTCAACAAATAAATTATATTGCAAACACTCACTATGCTATTGAGTTTATTAAGTGTGGTGAATAGTCATGGAAAATAAGACTGCTGTTAAATTATTGTAATATACTTAACGGCTCCTAAAAAATAGTGTTGGTATATACAAAATTAAAAAAAAAAAAATATCTGTTAATCTGGTCTAAGATTGTTATTAGGTATTTATATTTTATACCTACCTACCTAGTATTTAGAACGATAAAATTAAAATTATAAAGTATAAATTCAAAATAAATTAATGTCAATCATTATTTTTAAAGTAGTTCTTCTTCATATTTTATATTTTTGAATTTTATTGAATATATTACAATAAAATAATTCAACTATTATTCAAATGTATGTTAATTTGAATTGTATTTTATTATAGGAACAATTCAAATGGAAATGTTCATAAGAAAATATAAAACAATCATAGAAAATAGATATTATGGTGTCAATTTTCTATAAACTTTTAAATTAAAAAAATATTACATTTAAATACATACCCTATAATTATTAGTTCTAGTTTTTTAATTTTTTTGTTAAAATAATATTAAAATGTTTATTACAAAWATGTAAGTAATATGAACGCATATAAATAATTTATTTTAATTATTATTATTTTATTGGCAATTAGTTAGGTATTTCGTGAATTTCACGATTATTAAAAGAATAACAAGTAGGTAGGAATAGAATTTAGAGATATTATTTGTGTATTCTTATATTTATAATAATATATTAATATTTACATATTAAGCAAGGTACACCAATCAATAATTTTTCGTCGTATACAGATGAGTAGTAATAGATATTATCTCTCACTACTCACTGTATTGCACTCATTGATTTAATTATTAAGGAATTACCTATAATCTATACTTACAATTACAAACAATAAAATTATCTGTATTTTGTTGGAAGATTTTTTAATATTTGTAAAATAGTTAATTAACCTAACCATGTTTCATTAAACAGTTATTTCAATAAATGTTATTATTTTACGATCAACACCACATCATTCTGTAGTATTGTTATCAAGTTAGTATGTCAGTAATAAAATGAGCGATTTTGAACTATGGTGACGTAATCAATTATCAATTATAAGAATCGTACAGTAAAAAATAAATAAATTATTGTACTTGAAATTTATGTGAAGTAATGAGGTTAATGAAAAGATAAATAACTATTAGAGATAATCTTCGTAAAACAAATATTACTAAGTCTCTATGAGACCTCCGAGTTAAATATTTGTTTACCTTATATTGGGAATTGGGAAATGCCAAAATATGAGACCTTCAATGATTACAGTTTTAAACTAATTTTGTCATTATATAATTTTTAAAATATTGCAAGGACTTGAAGTTAAATTAATTTTTGTTATGGTTTATTTATCTTAAAATGTACGTTATCAAACTTCTAAAAAATATTGTATTTTATGCTTAAGCATCTACATCTAAATATCRATGTCATTTAAAGAGTTTTTACMTTTAGGTGATACTATTCATATTTCAATAAAAAAATTGAAAATATTTTATTGAAGTGTTAGCATGAGGTAAWRGTTGGAACTATCAACTAGGATCACATTAACAAAAAAATGAATTTGAAATRTCATTAAATTGTGGAACTATATTCATTACGGTTTTCATTGGAACTAAAACTTTGTAACGCATAGCAATGTTTGTGAAATATTAAAATAACAAAAGAAGAATCTTATTTTACTCGCCAAAATATTATTATTTAAAATATTTAATTTATTAGTTTAAATTACAAGTTATTATTTTACTATCAACCTACTCACGTGTATAGTTAATGTGAAAATGTTATGTTGTTARCTCAATTTTTAAATATAATTATGCAATAGTGGGTAAAATACATAAAATTTAAAACAACGACAGTCATAATTAACGAATATTAAGTTAACGTTTAAAAAAAGTAACCGGAATTTCTCCCGCTGTCTCACGTAAATTGTCCATTGTTATAATAAAGGTACACTTTTATTTATTAAGCACTAAGCATGTACCTATTATATTTTTTTTTCTTTTGCTTAAAAACTTATAGTAGGTATAGTACCTATATTGGTGGTGTAATAATAACTTTACGTATATAGATAATACCTACTATAAATCGAGTGAAATTATTTAATTTCTACGACAGAATCCGTTATCAGCGGTTTTCAATAATAGTTCGTATTATAATATATTCAACGTTGTTGTTATATTGTCACATTGTCACGTAGTATATTAATATAATACGAGTGCCGTTACCACTTGTCTTATTGTTTTTATTCGGCCCTATGACAACCAGGCTGCAGCTTTCGAGTGTGCACAGCTGGCGTGAGCGCGAATTCCATAAAAGCACTACGTCGGCGATCGCGACAACAAATTTAATAAACAAATAAATCGACACGTTTAGCGTACACTACTGCCTGCGCCATACTATCGCGTACGGCTGGCTGCAGCGTCGTCGTCGTCGTAATATCCGGATAAACGGCGCGTTAACTATGTACGCAAACATTACATCGAGAGGCCACGTTTTTTCCCTCCCCAAACGCCTGTGTGACCGGTAAGTGTTGCGCAGCGGAGGTACTATAGACATTGACGATACATTTTCGGTCGTTCGCCAATTTTTACAATCATCATAGACGTTTTAAAAAACTAAAAAAAATATTGTTCCCGTCGGATTGAGTTTTCGAGTATATCGATTCTCTCCAAATGCAAACCAACTYGCTGTGGATTTCAAACGAATGGCTGATACGTTGACGCGACAACAATATGGAAATCCAATCGTTCTACAAATTTAAAATTTAAAATAGGTACAATCTTCTTTATTTAGTACTAATTATTCAGTGGCTGTGAATTTAATGAACTGAGGACCCGTAAAATTTTCATACATCTATGCGCTCAAAAAAGGAAAAATATACAGTACCTAATACTTCTAAAATTTGCAAAATAAATTGTATAACATTTTTTATAATTATGTATATGGCTTGAAAAGCGGAGTTGTAAGGTAATGAATAAAATAATACATTTGTTCATAAACAAATAATTATTATATCATTAAAATAATAAATAAGCATATAATATAATTTATATTATAAAAAAAAACATTTAAAGAGTGTGCAAAATAAACTTTACATTTTAACTTATGTACTACAATTCATTTATGCTTAAATATTAAAACAAATTCGGTGAAATCAATCACTTTTCCACTTAAATACGAAATAAAAACAACATGTATGAATTTTTCTAATAGGTAAGTACCAACTGATGTCTAAAATATACAATAATATTAAAATTAAAATGTTTTATTTATGTTAGATTACATTACAAGGTAATTTCTTGAATCAAATTTGTCTCGAATTTATTTTAAATTCAGAATGCAATTTTTTGATCTACAAAATCATTATATTTTGTRTGGTGTACAATATAAATTATATTCAGTTAATTAAATAMAATTTCATTTGTAACTATGGTTGTATGAAACATGGTTAGTAGCACATAAAATATACGTATTATAATGAATAATTTAGAGTTAATATTATGTTTTATGTTATATGTTAATTATTTAATATCCATTCAATATTCTTAGTATCTTCATCATCMCATTGGCTTATGTAGTATGCCACTATATTATTAATTCAACTAAAAAAAAAGGAGGTATGGATGCGGTAAAATATTGGAACAATATGTGATACTCAGTCTCTTGCGCCCGTACCCCTGAATCAAGAACTATGATTATTATACCGACCTACAACTATAGTCTATAGTGTATCGGAAGAATAAAAAATGTTATGAAAACTAATATATATACGTAACATTTCTCATGATGTAAATAAGTCTTTATCGGTGTGTATTGATGATTTGATGCCAAAAGCGACTAAGTGTTCAATAGACCTGTCAACGGTTCATGTATACGCTGTGAGTGGCGTTGTCGTCGCCGTCTTCCGAATTATAGTGATAGAAGAACGGCATGCGAGCTCTAAATACTTAAACACTTWGCTCGACGATAATATTATAAAATAWATTATGTACTCGGGACGGGAACGTACACCGGAAATAGAATGGTTTTATTTTCGTACGCACGTGTCGTTTGGTCTTGGCCGACGTAGGAATGTGACATATACGACCGTCGGAAATCGGCGGAATTCGTTAGCCACCATCCGCTGCATTGAAAGTCAAGCATCGAGGGGAAAACGTTCGCGATAGAATTTTTTTTTTAGTGCTTTTCAAACGCAGTCGAGTTTGAAATTATAGGCGTGTAATCGATAAGATTTACAACTATCAATCGTGGCGATATTATTGTTTTGCACGGGAAATCTCAAAATATTGCATTCTATGAATCACTTGCACAGTTATGTGGTAAAGAAAAAGAATACTTTTGATTACGAATCATGTTTACTTGTTTAACTTTTTAACTTGGATACAGATCGTGATTATAGAAAATCTTCATACTCTGTAATCTTGTAGATATATTGAAAATGTATAGTTCATAGTCATGTCTTAGTGACATTTTTAAAAATATTCTTTTTTGTTAGTTTAACTTWAAAACTCTTTACCGTTATTAGGAGTTCGTAATTCATTTTTTTTATCAATGAATATGAATTATATTTATTTCTATGATATTTTATTATGATAAAAATCGAAATTATTTAAATTACAATTATTTTTACAATAAAACTCTTACGAATGAGTGACGAATATTTGTAAAAAAAATATCACCTTAAAGACCTCAGCGTGCATTGGTGCATCCATTTCCTTAATCAGATATTTTTTAATTTTATCAATTCAAACGTATTTTTTATCTTTATTATTATTTTACATATCTATCACTAAATCATAATCCATATATTTGAAGAAAAACGATCAACTCGTATCCTCGAAAATCAAAAGTAAACGATCAAAATATGAAATTATTTATTTTGAATCTTCGTTACTAAAAAATTATTATTATTAAGCCAAACAAAGATCTGGATTAAATTTCCTGCAATTTTATAACAATTATATATTTTAGTTGACACCTCAATAATTTAAATAATTTTCCACGGAGTTACTGYCTGCCGCCTGGTATATAGGTTATTGATTCGTTGTGTTAAATCGAAAAAATGAATTTACAAGAATAATTAATAATCAGACCTTGTGGGTTTATCGGATTTTAAAAACTATTTTTTTATCTGAAAGAAAAATATTTCCCACTAGCTATATTGAACTCCAATATTTTTATTTTAATCCAAATAATGGTATAACATATTTTGTAAAATGAACTATAAATTGTATTATTTTTGAAAACATATTATAAAGTTTTAAATTAAAATATTGAAAAACAGAGTTCAATGCGGTCTGTAGAATATTAGCCTCTATTAGTTACAAAAATATTATCAATTTTTATAATTTTATAGAATAGGATTATTATTCCCGTAGAGTGTAATTTTTTGGACAAAATTATATTGACACCGGGTACCATCAGCTAAATGTTGAAAAATCAGCTCAAACAGAATTTACTAAATGATACTATTTTTTTTATCGTGAATCAACATATTATAAAATAAAACATTCAAAATATTTACCTTAAGGTGTTTCAATATTGCTTCTAAATGTTTTCCTGCTAATATGTCCGAGTCTTGTGGAATTATTGTTAAATTGATTATATGATTATTTTTTACTCTAATTTTTAGTAATAGCTCGTCGACCATTGTCCAATAGTTGCATTTATTTTCCAACGTTTTGAGTACATTTTGATGTTTTGTTTTTAATTGTTTATACCGTTTTTCAACTTCATTCACACTGGATTCCAATGATTTTCTGTCTTTTTTAAAGGGCTTAAGACCATCCTTTAATTGTTTCAACTGCTGAGAAGTCAATGATAGCGTTTGTTGTATGTTTTTCATATTGTCTGAAACTTGCTGTAAATTGAAAAAAAGTTTATAATTTTTGAAAAAATAAGTAAATATAATATAAATACATTACAGCTTACATGATATGTTTTGCATATTGCTGTTTCGGAAGTGTGCCTGTCTTTATGTGATTCATTTTCTAATTCTGACATAGTGTAATCAGCATTGTTTATGTCGTTAGTAAGCTCGAATATAATGTTAAGCATATTTTCAGTTTTGCTATTTAAATCCAAATAATATTTTAGTTGGCTATTACATTGACTTTGGAAGGCGCTTAACTCTTGTCCATTGTTTTCAAGATTCCCGATGGCGATTATTTCATACGAAACTCCCTGGAAATAAAACGAAAATATTCAATTTTATTTAAATTCAATTAAAACTAATTAATTATTGTAAACATACTTTGAGCGTCTTAATATGGTCTACTAATGTGTCTTTCGGTTTTTCTAAAGCAGTTTCAAGGTGTTTAAATATTTTTGAAGCATCACAATTGTCCACAGTAGACCTTATTTTATTCAGTTTATCTCTTAATGCTTTGCATTCTGTTGCAAGTGACCCCATAGTTTCGATTTCACCTTGTCCATCGGAGATAGCAAGAATATCGAGTGATTCATTCAAACTATCAGAACAAGTTCTAATAGATTCTTCTACAATCTCCAACTCATATCGAATTATCTAATTAAAAATTTTACAAATAAATATAATATAAAGTATGAATTATTATTAATGATATCAAAACATTTTATATATTAAGATATTTAAACATTATTAACAGTAACGCATTCTCACATTGTTATCGATGATTTCCTGATTTGAGGTAGTATTTTCCAAATTTGATGTAATGCGTGGCAAATTCAACTCAATGTTGTTCTTGAGTTTACTGTACTTATCAAATTGTTTCTTGAATGTTGTCAAGCGTATTTCCTTAGCTCTCAAATTATTTTTTAGTTTGAATGTATCATTTGTATGCTGTTCACAAATATACAATAACGGTTTCACATCAATTTGATTCTGGAGTTTTTCTATAGAGTCCTTCAAATATATAAGTTTGTCGTAATGAATAGTMACATCTGTGATAGTACTCTATGAAAAAGTCGGAAAAAAAATCAAATTAATATATTAAATTATAAATATTTAACACAAAGCTAGCTATTATTAGGAACAAAATATAATTATTTGCTTATTTGCTCAACATTTTTACTTGTGTGTTAGACAGTGCTTGAACATAATTTATCGATGTAATTTTCGTTAGGTCAAGAATTGACACTCCAACTTCATCTAACCATTTTTGTTCAGCCGTTAAAATATCTTCTAAACGAGTCCACTCATTCTGAATGGATAGAAGTTTTTTTACATTTAACTGTGATCTATTTAGTTCTGTATCCAAATATTTTATTGCGTTTTTATCAGGTTTCTGAGATTCTAATAAAGTCTTTATGTTGATCAATTTTGTAGTGATGTGGTGATATTTGTCAAGATCCTCCTATAACAATAATATTTTCATCAACTAACATTAAAAATTACAGTAAATATTTTAAAGTTTACTATACCATAATATGTTTGATGTTATAGTATTTAATTGTATTTTCATTAGAATTTTTCACGGGTCCGCAAACCGATTCTAACTGATTAGAGTTAAAATTGGTAAATTTATCTTCTTCGATTTCATCAATAAAAAATTTAGTTGTATTTTCCAATTCTTTATCTAGTTTGATCGCAGCTCTTAAATATTTATATGTGTCGTCTGGTAATTTATTTTTTGAGTTATATTTCACTTTGTAAATACTTATAATATCCAATAATTCTTCAATGACTAATTGATTATGAACAAATAATATTTCCAATTTTTTAAGTTTTTCCTAAACAATAAGATGGAACACTAGTATGAATGAAACAAATTTAAAATATTTAAACAACGTGTTGAGTATTCTTTTTAAAATTGTGTACATCGATCTTAAAATTAGTAAAATTATAATCACAAACTTACTTGATATGATGATTTTCCTTTTTTTAATTGTTCAAAATCTGATTTATATTGTTCTATTTTTTTATGAACATTTTCAATTGCTAATATTTGATTCTGCCAATCCACCAAATTAACATCTTCGTTGAAACTATCAATTTCACGTTTAACTAATTTTGTTTTATTTCGGAGTTTTTCCATCATTGATTTAATTTTTTCAAATTCTTCATTTGTACTGGTTTGTTTTTCTTTTATGTTTGATACTTCTTTTACGACTGATTCAATTTGATTTAAAATTTGTTTTGAGTTTATAGGTTCTTCCAAGAAAAATTCCAAGCCAGCACCACTAACTTTCTAAACAAAAATATTAAAACTATCAATCAATATCCTATAGTGCCATCTACTATGCACTAMAWAAAAAAAAAAACTTTAATTATTGTCCTTATCGATATTATTTTTGAATAAAAATATGTTTTACAATATAAATCTGAAGTAAAACAAATATTTGTTCTTAGTGAAAATTATTTAATATTATTTGAAATTAGTAAAATGATTTTATTGCATTAAATTAATCATATCCTCACACGCGATCGCCCATCAATTAATTTGGAAATCATAACAAAATAAATATTATCAAACCTTAAAATCTTCTAAAAAAAATATATTTATTTATGAATATTTAATTGGTATATTATATACATTAGTAATTTAAATATATTTCATCTGTTTATGAAATAAAAACAATAAATAATAAGAATCACATAATAAGTATATAATATAAAACATGAATCGTGTGAAGATGATCTCTTACATCACTTCTTATTATTTATATTTTCTTTTTTAGAAAATTTTTTAACAAGGTTCTTTTTGTTCGATTGGAAATTTGTGGTAATGTGAGAGTGGATATGTTATAAATAAAAGGGTTTAAATGGTAAGTTGATTTAGRATGAACATTTTTTAAATGGTTTTTAGCTTGTCAACTGTTTGCATAGATACCTATACAGGATGTCCCGCGAGGATTTACCCATTGCGATATCTAACAAAATAATATTTTTCTGAAAATATTGACGTTTCAAAATGTTATTTTCATTAATTTCCTGATTTTTAATATTTTTTATAGTTTTGAAGAAATAAAATATGATTATAAATTTATAACTATATAATAGATTATTTTTCTATATAAATTATTTCGATGTCGTGTTATTCAAATAGGTACATTGCAGTGATGATGATACACCTACTACTAGTGTTCAAAAACGACCAAAATTACATAAAAATYAAGATGATTATGTTATAAATAAAGTTTTGTTTAAGTTAATAAATAAATAATATTTTGTTTGTCAAGYAGTAACCGAAATTGTGTCATCGCGATATTAACCAATATTAATTTTTATTATTATATACCTACCGGTTACCTCTATATGTAATAGTTATTTTATGTTTAGATAATAATTATAAAACAATAAACCGCTCATTTATACAAAATTAATACAAAAAAAAACTGTGTTATAGTCACAATTACGGACGCCGTAAGACAGAAATTACCAATTCTATAATATTGGATGTCCRATTATCAAGGTAAATATTGATCCCACGAARTATATTGTAVGTRCATTTTTTATAGGTAATTACCTCTTCTATAATATAGTATWTAGGTAYTTTTCTTATAATCTTAATAACAACYGAGTTATTTGAGAAAAACTGATTTTTCTTGCACAAAGCGCGCTCTAGCGGAGGTAGCGGTCATCAAATCTTAGGGGACTTTTAGTATGTTACTTAGTACCCTTCAATAAAGGTGTATACCAAAATTCAGCTTTCCAGCTTTTTTTTTCGCTATTTGTCAAAAATGAGTCTAATTTGCCTGGACTATAAGAACACGGAAAGCATTCGGCCGGCCTTATGGGAATGCGTGTGGCGCGGCGGGTCACATTTTTGATAACATTACGGTGTTAAATAATTCACAATTTTTCAAAATAAGGGTAATTGATTAAAAGGCTTAAATTTTGGGTCAATGTCTGTGGGTTTTGCTTGGCCTGATATTTGGATAACAAATGTCCTACACTAACATGATGAATGTTTTGTATAGCTGTAAATTATTTTAGAGACTCGAGATACATTCAAGTAGAGGTTAAAGTAAATAAAGGTCGAGTTTAGTTGCTCGTATCTTTGGCTATTTCAGTAAAAGGTTGACTACATTAATATATTTTAGTAAAGAGCGATACATAAATATTTGGTTAACTGATAAAGTAGAATTTGATTGTTATTGGACTTTGGTAGGGGGGAATTCCATTATGTTCAGAAAACAGTCAACTGAGTTGACTATTCGTCAATGATTTTAGCTTTACAAAATTTTGGCCTAGAGATACAATTTTACTTTAATGGAATTGTTGATTTTAAGAAGCAATATCAGTCTTGATATTTGACGTAATTATTGTTGTGTCATCATCAAATGAGTTGAGATCCGATTGGTTTATAGTAGGAATATAAACTGTAAATATATTATAAAGTATAGAATAGAAAGGAAACTTCAGGCTTAAATATTCTGTACAGTTGAACAAACTAACCAAACCTAAACTAGGGAACTAAAATGTAAACAAACAATTTAAAGAAAGAAAGTATTAGTAATAATAAAAAATTATAATAAATAATACATAATACATAAAAATACTAAAAAAAATTTACACATACAAACGACTGGTATAAAAAATGTAAAACTCAAAATCAATACTTCAAATACAAATAACAAAACTACAAAGAATTAAATATGTGACCAACTAATACAAATAAGGGGTACTTACTTTATGTTTTGAGATGTGGAATGTGATAACATCCAATAGCTCCCAAATCTCTTYAAAGAATGCAGAATACAAAGTATATTTGTCTTTACTGTCTGATCTCAAAATATTATTTTTAATACTATTAAGGCGATTACTTGAAACAGTCAAGTCATTAAGTATTATCGAGTTTACTCTTGGTAGTCGATCGTCAACCTTATCTATCACAAATTGATATCTACCACTATCACCAATCAACTTTTTCAATATAATATTCTTAGGATAAGACATAATTAGAGGGGTATCAATGGAATCCGATGTTGGATTTGTAAACTTATGCTCACTTAAGTCGACAAAACTACTATGGTCCCGTTCAAATTTAAGAAAAGCGATTGGGCTATGATGAGGT